GAGAATCTCCCTGGACTTTCTCCCCCTGGCCTCCCGCTCAGAGCCCCCCCCTCCGCCCCCATCTCTCTGGTCTTGTCCTTCCCCCTTTCCCTTTGACCTCGATCTGAAACAGCTGCCTCTGCCAGAGACGCTGCGCTCCCACCTTCCGCCCTGTCTCCGGCCTTCAGCTCTCAGCTGCCACCTTGTCTGAGACTCATCTTCCTTCCTCTTTGCCCTTCCTTCAAGTGCCCCGTATCCCCAGGCCTTCTCCTTTTACTTCCTCTGCCTTCCCGTTCTCTTTGTCGCTTTCACCCACTCTCCGATCTGAAACAGCTGCCTCTGCCAGAGACGCTGCGCTCCCACCTTCCGCCCTGTCTCCGGCCTTCAGCTCTCAGCTGCCACCTTGTCTGAGACTCATCTTCCTTCCTCTTTGCCCTTCCTTCAAGTGCCCCGTATCCCCAGGCCTTCTCCTTTTACTTCCTCTGCCTTCCCGTTCTCTTTGTCGCTTTCACCCACTCTCAGCTCCACACGTTACCCTTGATTGATGCGTCCCCTGCACCGGGACCAATCGCTCCTCTGCGTATCCACTCCACCTCCCCTCCGCCTTTGGGAATCCTTCCCGCCTTCTCCGCCTCTCGGCACCTTCCCAGCTAGGGATGGAGTAGGCTTATCGGGTAGACGCCTAGTCCCTCAACTAGTCACTCCCCCCCCCTTGCTGCCTGTATTAGAGGTAGCAAGGGGTGGGAAACAAGAGCCGGTGCTGGGGAATCCAGCTTAAAAGCTGTTTCCCCCCCAGCACCATCTCCGCAGGGGGGCAGGACAGGCAGGAGGGTAGTGGGGACTGGGTGTGAGCTGGGAATCAGCTGACTCCCAGTCCCAGACGCTGCACCTCTGCTGTTTAAAAATCAGATGCGCAGCTGGGGGGACCCGGTGCAGGCCAGAAATCAGCTATCCCAGCACGCGCAGCGTCCCCCCTGCTGTGCGCCAGCTTTTTAAATGTATTAAGAGTCTGTTGGCTCTTCATACATTTAAAAGGCAGAGGGGTTATTCCCAGGGCTGGGGGCTAATCCTGCTGCAGCTCCCTTGCTTATCGGCTAATCGACGAGTCGATGGAAAACCCATCGATTAGCGGATTAAACTGCAGTTAACATCCTTATTCCCATCCCTCGTGTATTCATGCGTGTCTCATCTCCCGGATCTCAGCACCATGTCCTGGGAGATGCTGAGCATTCTCTAACCACACTGGTGTCAGCAGTAGCTCCGGGCACTCAGTACCTCGCTGGAGAAGAGCATAGGCATGGGAACTAGGGCTGTGGGGGGTGCTGCAGCACCCCCAGGCTCCCGGCCTACCGCTCAGAGTCCCGACTGCCTCCCCACACGCCACAGGCTCTGTGCCAGTCGCATGCCCAAGGACCCAGGTGCTGCCCTGCACGCCCGGTGCTCTGCTGCCAGCTGTGTACCCAGGGTACTGGCTGCTGACCCACACTCTTGGAGCGCTTCCATGAGGAGTAATGGTAGTTCGAACCTTTGATTTGGCCCTCCTCTTGCAGCCTGTAGGGCTACGAGATCTTCTCCTGACATGGGCTATGTAAGAGCTAGGGATTCTTGGGTGGTTATTGTACTAACAGTGCGGAAACATTAGTTCCCCGACAGTCCATTCTAAAATGCAGGTGGGCGACTTTTCCAGATTCCTTGTCCACAGCCTGCTTCTCCCCTATTATCATCACTAACATTTGCATTACGGCATCAATACAGGAGGGTCCCTGGCTTGAATAACTTACTGTCTAAATAGGCAAGCTGGACAAAGGTAGGGGGAAATTGAGGCACAGAGCAAGAGCGTGACTTGTCCGAGGTCACAAAGCTGAACCAGGAATAGAAGGTCAGTTCATATGACTCTGAGGGCCCTGCCCATTAGACCATGCTGCCTCTCCTTCCCTCTCCCTTCCACAGACTCCCATAAGCTCTTGGAGAGATGAAGGCTGGTTCATTGCCTCTTATGTACTTCTGCACTGTGGTATTTTTACATTTGCTTTTGAATTATGAATGTTGTAACATCAACAGCAAGTTGACAGCAGTAGCAAACAACATGACTTATCTAAATTACCCTGTGCTGATGGCTTCCACTATTGTTAGAATCCATCTGCAGTTCTGGAACACTCGTACCCAGTGTAATAAAACTCCTGATGTCTCATGAAATGTTATCATGCAATTACTTAATGGGAGGACTCTTTCTCCAAGGGAAAGGAACGGCTTAAAAAATAGCCCGAGCACAAAAAAGCAACAGCTTTGTGTCTTGGTGTCCAAACAAGATTATGTTCTTAATTTGTACAAGTTGCCCATTTACTTGCCAATTCTTCCAGACAAGTACAAATGTGTTCTCTCTGCGACACAAGACTCTACTTTACTATGATGCTAATGGGGCAGACGCAGGTGCTCATCTGAATAAGCTGAAATTGGCGAAAAGCCACTATGAAAACAAACAGCTCTCCCCACCCAACGCCGACCGAAGACGTTCTCCAACTTACGGCAAAAGTTGAAGCTCCTCCATGGGCCGACCTCCACTTCAGCGTTCTTACAGGCGCTAGCGTAACGAGCCACCGAGTCGCAGAGCTCCGACTGGTTCCCCCCGCTCTGGCACAGGCGGAAGAGGCAGGTGCGGTAGTAGGCCGAGGCGTTGACCACGCCGTGGCAGTCCAGGAAGGAGCTGTTGGTGGGGTCGTTGATGAGGCCACACTTGGCGCGGCTCCTGTAGGACTTGAGGAGCTCTGAGTCGTTGTGGCAGGCCTTGAGCAGGTCCCCGCACTCCCCGTTGCAGATCTCGTCGAAGGTGGTCCAGCTCTGCAGGAAAACCGCCAGGTTGTCCGTGCACTTGCCGTTGGGGAAGCAGAATTCGTCGCTCTTGTTCCCGTTGTAGAAGCCGCACAGCCCGCCGGTGCAGTTGAAGTAGGTGGTCGAGAGGCGTATCTGCAGCACGCCCAGGGTAGAGTACTGGATACTCACCAGCCCCGCGGCCTCGATCACCGTGCCGTTCTTGCTGCGGTAAATTTCCAGTTGGCCGGAGGGGAGGAAAAACGGCAGCTCCACGTCATAGCCATTGACCTGCAACGGAAGCGCACGGTGGGTGTGGAATGCTCACCGATCCCACCGCTGGCACCATGCTGTGCTATTGTACTGCCCCCTCCTCCCGCAGCCCACGCAGAATGGACAGCGAGCACTTCAAGGGGGGCTAAGTTATCATAGGGTCTCATGACGCTGCTGCTCCTTAAACCAAACCCACGTGCTGCCTGAAAACAGTCCCCGTGTGACCAGCCCCATGCCACAGCACGAGAACCTCTGACCCACAGTACATCGCCCTGGTGAGAGCCGAACGGAGGAGCTAGTGGAAGAAACAGGACAATAAGGGAGGGCTCCTCGTAGCTAGGAAGTAGGCCAATCCGGTTGAATGTGAATTGAGGCTGTTTTATAACAAGCCCCGGCCATCTGGGAACCATACAGTACAATGTCTGTATTACAAACACTTTGGGAGCAGGGACTTTTTACTCCATGTTTGTGCAATGCACAGTGGGGTCCATGTGCATGGTTGGATTGCTAGGTGCTACCACAATATGCATAAAGAACCTGAGCTAGAACCAAAATTCTCCGTCAAGAAAAAGCACAGGTCTCTTACACTTCAGCTATAGGAGAGTCCCCATTAGCAGTATGGAGCCTCTGACACACAGGAGAGCAGTTCTGATTGCAACCAGCAGAGGGCAGGGATGTGCTTGCACACTCCCCAGCGTGTTGCAAAGCAGTGGTAGGGCTGTGTAACTGCAAGCATGATGGAAGAGTATCACACAGCTGCATGTACAACAGCAACACCCCTTCCATGCAGGCATTGGTGGCAAGTAAACCTATCTATTTTGAGTCTGAATAAATAAGAATTGCAGCCAGCTTGACAACCCATGTGTCTAGAGCCCATTCATCTGTAAGCAGCTCTTGCTCAAAACAAGGTTGCAGGGACAATTTGTAGGTCACACCGTGGATTTTGGATTTTTTTTTCAATGCATGTGTCCTGGCCCAGGTTGCTCATTCTGGAAATCAAACAGCGATTTATCTAACCGACAGCAACGTGAACTCCAACTGGGATTTGGCCAATCAAGCTGTGCTCTTGCGGCGTCTTGCATCCTCCATCCCCACTAGCAAACATTCAGCAAGCGGGGCTTAGCTGAGATTTGCAACAGCAACGTTAGTTAAGGACGCACGAGTCAGAAGAGCATCCTTGCCTCTCTCCTGGGGTTGTCCCCTGACTCAGCCGGGCTAGAAGAGCAAACGCTACAGTAAAGCAAGCAAAGCCTCACAGGCAGCAAAACTGTTAGGTAAGAAGGTTCCGTGTTTTCCATAGCTGCTTTGTTGACTTTAACTACACTGTAACCCCAGGCTGTGCAGACAGCAGTGTTTTAATAAAACCCACAGACTCGCAGTACAGGCATTGTACATTGATTTCTACCTACATCCCTTTCATCTTGGCATCCATTCAGATTGTCCATGGGCCAGTTGTTCCCAGCACCAGCTTTCCCACATGGCATCTGGACCTGCTACAAATTAAACCCTTCATCTTCCATGCTCTGTCTCATTCTGGAACATCTGTTTTCTCTGCTCAGCCTCCCAGCCCGCCCTCCTTCACCTCTCTCCGTTAGAAGAACAAAACAATCGGTTGCAAATAATCCACCTGCAGCTGGGATTTCTCGGTTGAGCAGGGCTCAGGCTTCAGGACTGTAGAATTACAGTGGAGATGCTTCAGGTTGGACTGTGAGACCCGCCCGACTCATGGGGTCCCAGAGCTTAAGATCAAACATCTACCCAGCAATTTTGCAGCCCTGCAGCCTGAGGGAGTTGACACAGGCCAGCCATGGAGTTTTACTGACAGAAACCCGCAAGGTCTTTGGAAAGGACAGAGGTTAAGGATGGGATTGGGGGGCAGGTCTTTTGAAAATCCCAACCTAAATGTCCACCAGCATGTTTTGGGGTTCACAGTGTTGTCCAGTGGGAAATGCTCCCACCCGGCTGAATCAGAGTCCCTTCTCCAGCCAGTTCTTTGAGCCAGGGAGTAACTGCTGCTTGCGATGCATTTATGCAGCACCGTGCACACCGGGAGTCAGCTCAGTGATCCTGGCCGACAACAGCCACGGACTATCTGTGGCACAGTCACAGCGGCGGAAAGAGGCCGGTGTGAAAACGTGTGTCCTGCCAAGTGGCAGAAGCCCTAGACTGGGATTCCGGAGTCCTGGGATCCCCAACTGAGGCACTACCCTGCCAGGTGACTCTTGGCTCAGTCACTTTCCCCCACCGTGCCTCAGTTTTCCCCAGCTGCCTTTGATTTGGCCCTCCTCTTGCAGCCTGTAGGGCTACGAGATCTTCTCCTGACATGGGCTATGTAAGAGCTAGGGATTCTTGGGTGGTTATTGTACTAACAGTGCGGAAACATTAGTTCCCCGACAGTCCATTCTAAAATGCAGGTGGGCGACTTTTCCAGATTCCTTGTCCACAGCCTGCTTCTCCCCTATTATCATCACTAACATTTGCATTACGGCATCAATACAGGAGGGTCCCTGGCTTGAATAACTTACTGTCTAAATAGGCAAGCTGGACAAAGGTAGGGGGAAATAGAGGCACAGAGCAAGAGCGTGACTTGTCCGAGGTCACAAAGCTGAACCAGGAATAGAAGGTCAGTTCATATGACTCTGAGGGCCCTGCCCATTAGACCATGCTGCCTCTCCTTCCCTCTCCCTTCCACAGACTCCCATAAGCTCTTGGAGAGATGAAGGCTGGTTCATTGCCTCTTATGTACTTCTGCACTGTGGTATTTTTACATTTGCTTTTGAATTATGAATGTTGTAACATCAACGGCAAGTTGACAGCAGTAGCAAACAACATGACTTATCTAAATTACCCTGTGCTGATGGCTTCCACTATTGTTAGAATCCATCTGCAGTTCTGGAACACTCGTACCCAGTGTAATAAAACTCCTGATGTCTCATGAAATGTTATCATGCAATTACTTAATGGGAGGACTCTTTCTCCAAGGGAAAGGAACGGCTTAAAAAATAGCCCGAGCACAAAAAAGCAACAGCTTTGTGTCTTGGTGTCCAAACAAGATTATGTTCTTAATTTGTACAAGTTGCCCATTTACTTGCCAATTCTTCCAGACAAGTACAAATGTGTTCTCTCTGCGACACAAGACTCTACTTTACTATGATGCTAATGGGGCAGACGCAGGTGCTCATCTGAATAAGCTGAAATTGGCGAAAAGCCACTATGAAAACAAACAGCTCTCCCCACCCAACGCCGACCGAAGACGTTCTCCAACTTACGGCAAAAGTTGAAGCTCCTCCATGGGCCGACCTCCACTTCAGCGTTCTTACAGGCGCTAGCGTAACGAGCCACCGAGTCGCAGAGCTCCGACTGGTTCCCCCCGCTCTGGCACAGGCGGAAGAGGCAGGTGCGGTAGTAGGCCGAGGCGTTGACCACGCCGTGGCAGTCCAGGAAGGAGCTGTTGGTGGGGTCGTTGATGAGGCCACACTTGGCGCGGCTCCTGTAGGACTTGAGGAGCTCTGAGTCGTTGTGGCAGGCCTTGAGCAGGTCCCCGCACTCCCCGTTGCAGATCTCGTCGAAGGTGGTCCAGCTCTGCAGGAAAACCGCCAGGTTGTCCGTGCACTTGCCGTTGGGGAAGCAGAATTCGTCGCTCTTGTTCCCGTTGTAGAAGCCGCACAGCCCGCCGGTGCAGTTGAAGTAGGTGGTCGAGAGGCGTATCTGCAGCACGCCCAGGGTAGAGTACTGGATACTCACCAGCCCCGCGGCCTCGATCACCGTGCCGTTCTTGCTGCGGTAAATTTCCAGTTGGCCGGAGGGGAGGAAAAACGGCAGCTCCACGTCATAGCCATTGACCTGCAACGGAAGCGCACGGTGGGTGTGGAATGCTCACCGATCCCACCGCTGGCACCATGCTGTGCTATTGTACTGCCCCCTCCTCCCGCAGCCCACGCAGAATGGACAGCGAGCACTTCAAGGGGGGCTAAGTTATCATAGGGTCTCATGACGCTGCTGCTCCTTAAACCAAACCCACGTGCTGCCTGAAAACAGTCCCCGTGTGACCAGCCCCATGCCACAGCACGAGAACCTCTGACCCACAGTACATCGCCCTGGTGAGAGCCGAACGGAGGAGCTAGTGGAAGAAACAGGACAATAAGGGAGGGCTCCTCGTAGCTAGGAAGTAGGCCAATCCGGTTGAATGTGAATTGAGGCTGTTTTAGCGCAGCACGAGAACCTCTGACCCACACTACATCACCCTGGTGAGAGCCGAACGGAAGAGCTAGCGGAAGAAACAGGACAATAAGGGAGGGCCCCTCGTAGCTAGGAAGTAGGCCAATTCGGTTGAATGTGAATTGAGGCTGTTTTATAACAAGCCCCTGGCCATCTGGAAAGCATACAGTACAATGTCTGTATTACAAACACTTTGGGAGCAGGGACTTTTTACTCCATGTTTGTGCAATGCACAGTGGGGTCCATGTGCATGGTTGGATTGCTAGGTGCTACCACAATATGCATAAAGAACCTGAGCTAGAACCAAAATTCTCCGTCAAGAAAAAGCACAGGTCTCTTACACTTCAGCTATAGGAGAGTCCCCATTAGCAGTATGGAGCCTCTGACACACAGGAGAGCAGTTCTGATTGCAACCAGCAGAGGGCAGGGATGTGCTTGCACACTCCCCAGCGTGTTGCAAAGCAGTGGTAGGGCTGTGTAACTGCAAGCATGATGGAAGAGTATCACACAGCTGCATGTACAACAGCAACACCCCTTCCATGCAGGCATTGGTGGCAAGTAAACCTATCTATTTTGAGTCTGAATAAATAAGAATTGAAGCCAGCTTGACAACCCATGTGTCTAGAGCCCATTCATCTGTAAGCAGCTCTTGCTCAAAACAAGGTTGCAGGGACAATTTGTAGGTCACACCGTGGATTTTGGATTTTTTTTTCAATGCATGTGTCCTGGCCCAGGTTGCTCATTCTGGAAATCAAACAGCGATTTATCTAACCGACAGCAACGTGAACTCCAACTGGGATTTGGCCAATCAAGCTGTGCTCTTGCGGCGTCTTGCATCCTCCATCCCCACTAGCAAACATTCAGCAAGCGGGGCTTAGCTGAGATTTGCAACAGCAACGTTAGTTAAGGACGCACGAGTCAGAAGAGCATCCTTGCCTCTCTCCTGTGGTTGTCCCCTGACTCAGCCGGGCTAGAAGAGCAAACGCTACAGTAAAGCAAGCAAAGCCTCACAGGCAGCAAAACTGTTAGGTAAGAAGGTTCCGTGTTTTCCATAGCTGCTTTGTTGACTTTAACTACACTGTAACCCCAGGCTGTGCAGACAGCAGTGTTTTAATAAAACCCACAGACTCGCAGTACAGGCATTGTACATTGATTTCTACCTACATCCCTTTCATCTTGGCATCCATTCAGATTGTCCATGGGCCAGTTGTTCCCAGCACCAGCTTTCCCACATGGCATCTGGACCTGCTACAAATTAAACCCTTCATCTTCCATGCTCTGTCTCATTCTGGAACATCTGTTTTCTCTGCTCAGCCTCCCAGCCCGCCCTCCTTCACCTCTCTCCGTTAGAAGAACAAAACAATCGGTTGCAAATAATCCACTTGCAGCTGGGATTTGTCGGTTGAGCAGGGCTCAGGCTTCAGGACTGTAGAATTACAGTGGAGATGCTTCAGGTTGGACTGTGAGACCCGCCCGACTCATGGGGTCCCAGAGCTTAAGATCAAACATCTACCCAGCAATTTTGCAGCCCTGCAGCCTGAGGGAGTTGACACAGGCCAGCCATGGAGTTTTACTGACAGAAACCCGCAAGGTCTTTGGAAAGGACAGAGGTTAAGGATGGGATTGGGGGGCAGGTCTTTTGAAAATCCCAACCTAAATGTCCACCGGCATGTTTTGGGGTTCACAGTGTTGTCCAGTGGGAAGAGTTAGAGCTGCTGGATTCTAATCCCAGCTGTGCCACTCTGCCTCAGTCTGCCCCTCTGTAAAATGGGGACAAATTCTCTCTTTCTGGAGAAGGAACTGTGGGTTCACCACTTATAACCTCAAGCCATCCTGCCTAGAGTAATGGCAACATTGATTTCTAATGGCCCCAGTAGAGCAATCTTTTGTCAGTCCTCAGACCCTGGGCGCATGTGGGCACCTACCCATGGCTACAGCCTAAAGGCCTCATGCTTGGAACGCCTCTGAGCACACGGTACATCTGGCCTGCTACCGGACCTCCAGGGACGGGGGCACCACAGCGCTCACCATTAGCTCCTGCAGTGGAGTTGGTTACAAATGACGTGCCTCTGTTGAGTCACATGTGTAAAGAGTTCAGCAATTCTCAGATGGAACACGCAACGGACGCACAAAGCTCTCTCAGCAGAGAGAGACGCCCTTCTCCCTTCCCCTCTGTGGAAGATTGCCCCTTGCGGGGATTCTTACTTTGATATCAGATGTGCTACTGCCTCCAACTTTGACCTCCTGACCGGCCACCTGGATCCTCAGGGGTCGTAGCCAGCTAGGGCTGGATTCGGGTTTCTTTTTGCTGATGTCGACCTCCAGGAAGTGCGGCCGGTCAGAGCAGGTTTTGAGCAGGGTGTAGGAATGCTCTGGGGGGAACACGAAGGCCACCCCGTCGAAGGACTGCAGCACCTGGTTCTGGCTCACCAAGCACAAGCTCTCCCGCTTGGGGTAACAGCCCCGATAGCCGTTCTCCACCGCGCACACCTCTCCTTCCCGGCAGGTGGTGTTCACACAGCTGATCTCTGCCCCGTCCTCGCACCGGCACCGCACCGTGCAGTCCACGGTGGCCCAGAAAGACTCTCCGATGGCATAGTACCGGCCGTCCACGTCGCAGCCACACTGGTGGAGGGGGACGCACTGGTCCGTGCTGAAGACGTAGCCTTCGTTGCACTCGCAGCCCTCGGTGCAAGGGGAGCTGCAGGACAGCGGAGCTGTTAGAGCCGAACACGTCGCCGGGCAGCTGCTGGTGCAGACCGAGTAGTGGCTGAACTCTGGACACTGGACAGCCGTGGCTAGGAGGGGGAAGGTGGAGGAGACACTGTTACAAGGCAACTCATGCTTTGGGGACCGTTTTCTGCTATAGGCCTGAGCCTCTGGGGGCATAAATCTGCATTGAAACAGATTGTCCCTTTTGCACCCAAGTGTAGATTTTAGCCACCATTGCTGCTATCACCTAACCCTGATTTCAGTGTAGCTGTGCCTAATTCACACAGCAGAGAGATGAAAATGGGGCTCTCAGTAGTGCAGAATCCACATGAACCATCCTTTTCTCCCATTCCCACCCATTGCATTTCCTGTCCCATTGCAATCACGTAGCAGCCTGAGTTTCTCTCCCACAGCTCCTCATCTGGGCTCCCCCTCTGTCCTGTGGTTGTCCCCTGACTCAGCCGGGCTAGAAGAGCAAACGCTACAGCAAAGCAAGCAAAGCCCCACAGGGAGCAAAACCGTTCGGTAAGAAGGTTCCGTGTTTTCCATAGCTGCTTTGTTGACTTTCACTACAGTGTAACCCCAGGCTGTGCAGACAGCAGTGTTTCCTACTACAGAAACATCAACTGGTAAGAATAAGAGATGAAGGGAGGGGAGGAGGAGAAGAAGGGGAGGAGGAAACAAGAAATCAGAGAGGAGAGAGACTGCAGAGCTATCCTTACTCATACACAGAATATGCAGCTGAGTAGGGCACCCAAACATTTGGGGTATTTGCCAACCCCAAGTACATACTGTCAGTTTCTGAATTTACCGTGTCATTCTATAGGACCTTGGTTTAAAATCTGCTTGAAAACTATTTCATTAGAGTGTCGCTGAAGATTATAAAATCACATCTAAAAAATCATCATTGTCCCATCTCCCAACTGCCATTGTACATAAGGGCAACAGTTTAATAGCATTGCGTCAGGATTCCCCTGAGAGAACGGGAAGAGACGAAGAGAAATCAGGCATGACTAGGGGCTGAGGCATAGACTTTCCTAGAGAATTTTATGGACTCAGATACCATTCAGGTGGTGGCAGGAGGAATATATCAAATGGAATATGTCAGCCCCTTTTAACTATTTCATTTTTAAGATGCTAATAGACTATTTATTGTTTTTTAAGTTTTTCCTTTTACAGACTGGCTCGGCTATCCCTTTGAAACTTATCTACCCAATGTCCTTTTTCCCCTCCCCTCCAAGTTTTTCCTCCTTCCCTTCTCCCCCATCTTCCCTTATTTATTCTTGGTTCTGGACTTCCAACTCTCCAGTCATCTGAAGAAGTGGGCTGTGCCCGCGAAAGCTCATGATACCATCTACGTGTTTTGTTAGTCTCTGAAGTGCTACCAGACTATTTGTTATTTTTTAAGTTTTTCCTGTTACAGACTAACTCAGCTACCCCTCTGAAACTGTTATGTGATTTTATTAATTATGACTATTTCCTTATTAATCTCCTGGACCATTATTATTATTAGGCAGTCATATACCATAACGATAAGCGAGCAAACATATCTGCCTGTCCGTCTACCTATGCATAGCAATGATGAACAGACAGAAAGGAAGTATGGTGATGGTAAATAGAAACCAGACATTAGTATTCAATATTATCGCTGACATACTATATGGATTCTCTCTCTTTAATATCAGTCCCTTACTGCTCTCTCGCTTATCCTCAGGCAGCATTGTTTGCAGTGTTGTTGCCAGGTTGGTCTCAGGATGTTAGAGAGACAAGGAGGTAATAACTTCATTGGACCAGCTTTCATAGGGGAAAGAGACAGGGTCTTGAGTGCCAAGGCTGAAGAAGAGCTTTGCATAAGCTTGCCTCTTTCAGCAACCAGCATCGTTCTGGGATGCACTGACAGGAGTGGTGTGAGCAAGATGACAGAAGTCATTCTTCCGCTCTGCTCTGCGCTGATTAGGCCTCAATTGGAGTATTGTGTCCAGTTCTGGGCACCGCATTTCAGGGAAGATGTGGAGAAACTGGAGAAGGTCCAGAGAAGAGCAACAAAATGGATTAAAGGTCTAGAAAACGTGACCTAGGAGGGAAGACTGAATGAATTGGGCTTGTTTAGTTTGTAAAAGAGAAGACTGAGAGGGGACATGATAGTGGTTTTCGAGTACCTAAAAGGGTGTTACAAGGAGGAGGGAGAAAAATTGTTCTTGATCTCTGAGTACAGGACAAGCAGCAATGGGCTCACATTGCAGCAAGGGAGGTTTAGTTTGGACATTAGGAAAAACTTCCTAGCTGTCAGGGTGGTTAAACACTGGAATAAGTTGCCTAGGGAGGTTGTAGAATCTCCGTCACTGGAGATATTTAAGAGCAGGTTAGACACCTGTCAGGGATGGTCTAGACAGTGCTTAGTCTCTCAACGTCCCTTCCAGTTCTAGGGTTTTATGATTCTACCTTGTCTCTCGTCTCCAATGCCACATAACGAGATTGCCATGACGAATGACTATTACTCCCCCAACTGCTCTGTGGTTGACCCAGCTCCACCCGCTGGTCGGCAGAGGCGATTTACCCTCTTGCTTTAACCAGTGAGACAGGTTGCCGACGGCAGCCCAGAAAAAGGCAACCGTGCCCCTTCTGCCATTCTGAACTAGGATACCTGTGTTGCCAACGCACACTGGGTGCATCAGCTTTAGCATCCCTGGCAGTAGGTGACAGTTCAAAGAGAGCGAGGTGAACGTCCTCCGTTACGCCCTCTTTCTCTCTAGATTATTCTTCTGTTCTGAGGTGACGTCCCCCCACCCTCGCCCTTGCACTCCGGGAGTCAGACACGTCATAGAGGAAGGGCGGCCTACACCCTGCAGTATGAGACATGGGGCCCCATTCTCCTTGTACTCACTGTGGTGTAAATCAGGAATAACCGTGTCAGCTGAGTTACCTCTGGACAAAAGTGGGGCAAAAGAAAAAGCGGGTTGAGGGCCCCTGAGTTAGCATCTCACCAGATGGCAACAGTCGTTACGTTAGCCAGCCCTGACTTGCGTTCAGCCACCATGCGCGACACCAGCCTGGCGTTCCGCTGGGCGCTCGAATTTCCCTCTATTTGTTCAACACTCTAACTGCCCTTTGGCTCCTTCAGGCCTCCCTTTGTCCTTCTCGTCTTGCATTTCCGGACTGAAAGGAGGGACTGTTTGGCTTTCCCTGCAACTCTGGCTGCGTCAGTCAAGTTCCTGCCGGCTTGTCTCTTGACTTACCTCAGGCAGGGTGTTCACCTCAACAGGAGTCTGCTGCAGGCCCCTGAAACCTCCTCCCACCTCCCGAGGGCGGCCTTTTGGCTGGAGTACATGCTGACTTACCACACCCTGTCTGGGCTCGCCAGTCTCCCACTGGAATCCCAAGGGCTTGGCACACCAAGGCGTAAGCCTGGATCGCCTGGCAGAGACTGGTGCCGTTGTCCCGGATACTGCATAGGTCATACACACAGCTGTGGACAAAGGCCGTAGGGTCCACAATGGCCCCGCATTCCCACAAGGGGCCATTGGTCTTGTTGATGAAGCCGCAATAGTCGGGCGTGAAATAGAGAGACTCCATTGCCGCGTCACAGAAGCTGCAGTTGTCTAAACAGCCTGGGGAGCATTTCCACTCGGGGTGGTACACTCGCCAGCTCTCCCCCAGGTCCAGCACGGACACCGCCAGCCTCCCGTCTGAGCGAAGGGTATCGTCCTGAGGGTCCTTGTTATAGTTCCCACAGAGGCCACAGGTGGCGTTGATGTAGGTGCCCGGGACAGAGATGGAGGCATAGTGTTGTCCATCATAGGTCACCAAGACACCAAAATCAGTCTCCACCGCCGTGGACAACCCGCTCTGGTAGATTTTTATCGCTCCCAGTTCCAGGGAGAGGGGTAAGGACATCACCAAGTCGTCCACCTGCAGGAGCAAAGCAGAAGAGTATAATCTCGCAAAACGGCAGGGTTACCGCACTGTTAGGAGCTCAGGCGGGTGGTTCTGCAGAAGTTCCCCTGCAGTAGCTGAACTGGATCCCAGAAATGGGCTGCTTCCGATTTTGGAATCCGAGCAAGATGGTGAATTGGGATCCAGCAACTCCAACCCAGGCCCAACAAAGTTCGGAGAGGGGGTTAGATTTTAGGGGCCTGGTTTGGGCCTTTCTAGTTGTCAGCATGACCTACACTTACACTCCCCACCCTTTCCGAGGAGTCTTACAAAGACACTGGCCCAGATTCTCAGCTGGTACAAATTGTCATAGACCCGCTGACTTCAATAGAGCTACACCGCTTTGCATCAGCCAAGGATCCGACCCAAGGAGTTTTCCTTCTTTGCTGGGGCTCTTACCTTCACTTTCCCAAAGCTCCCTTTGGGGATCACAATCTTGTGAGAATAAACCTCCACCGAGATATCCTTCAACCAGGAGACAGAGGAGCCCCCTCGGTTCTCATTCTTGGCCTCCACGCTGAAGAAAGGCAGGTTTGATTCTGGCCAGCACTGCCTGGTGAGGAGGTAGGCGCAGGAACCCTGGAAGTGAAAGAGGAAGCCATCGAAGGTGTGGTAGTGTGGGTCTCCGAACACCACGCAGGTGCTGCTCTCCACTGGCACACACTGGTAGAACTTGTCCTTCGGCTCACACACTTCGTAGGGGCCACAAGCCATCTCCTGGCAGAAGATCTCATTGTTAAAGTCCAGGCAACGACACTTGGTGGAGCAGTTGGCGTTGTCCCAGAATATCTCCCCTGGGTGGAGAAACTGCCCTAAAAGAACCCCGCATTGCGTTACTCGTCAGAACACAGAACTCTGTGACATGACACAGAAGAACATTCAAGAGTTCCACGTCATTTGTTCTTTCTGATTCAGGTCCAACCATTCAGAAAACAACCCTTAAGAGCCGGACTGCCTGCTCGGTACTGCTCAGACAGGGCATCCGACGTGATACAGAACTTGCCGTATACAGAGCCTTCTAGCACTGCAACACTTCACATCCCAATTCAGAAAAGCAATGGAAGCACCGGCTTAACTTTAAGCAGTTGAGATGTCCCATTGAAGTCAATGGCACTACTCATATCATATGTTCAACATTAAGCATGTGCTGCAGTGATTGGGTGAATCACGGTCTGTTAATGATGGGGAAAATCAGGTCAATTTTCTAGTTTTGAGAACTGCTCAAACTATTTGGCAGTGGGGGTAGAGGAGAGAGGTAGGTGCACGTAACTAGTTTGGGTACATGAACCTTCTCTCTGGAATTTAAGGTCACTATGTTAAATCAATCTGTTTTAGTTACCCTTTATAACGGTGACTCTGAATCTACTGTCATCGTTCTGTAATTACACGGTAATCAATCTTTTGGATAGCTATAGTTATTCATTTCACACAAGTGGAAGGTGACAGTAATTAAGGAACAAACACAACATCACCTGAGTGTCTGATTTCTGAAAACTGTATGTACTAACTATAAAACCAAAGGCATGGCTGGCCTTGGCTTATATGAATTAGCGATTATTAATTATTAAACAGCAAACTACACTGTTTTGTGAAGTCTGGTTCATATTTTTCTACCTGAATGGCTACGTGAAAGGAGAAGAATTTAGACTGGCAAAAGCAAGTCCCCAGTAGAATCGCTCCATCTGCTCCTTCTTCACACCCTCTCTGTATTTGTTTTTCACTCTTCCCACTCTCTGCTCATCCCTCCCCAGATTTTCCTCTCTCACACACACTCTCTGTTCCTTTTATCCCTTATTTGCAGCAGAAAAATCTCTCCTAAGCATAACGAGCCCCCAATTATATTTGCTTTGGAGCCAACCTTCCAAGCCCATGGTATTTGAGTGGGTTCCAAATGAGGCAAAACAAACCTGCTCAGACCCACTTCCTACCACCAGAAATCTGAGATTCTTCTCTTACAAATGGTATTGAGCTAGGAGTGGGGATTTCCATATTCAGCCAAGGGATTTCGATGCACTGCTTTCCTTAACCTGAGGGTGGAACTGCAGGTCAAAGCCCCTTTGCAAATGTCAGCATTGGTGGGTCAAGTTTAGAACAGAACGGCCACACTGGGTCAGACCAATGGTCCATTTAGCCCGGTGTCCTGGCTTCCGACAGCGGCCAATGCCCCAGAGGGAGTGAACAAAACAGGGAATCATGAAGTGACCCCCTCCTGTGCTGCCCATTCCCAGCTTCCAGCAGACAGGGTCACCAGCCCTGCCTGTACCTCAGCCCTTGAACTTTTTTATGGGCTCCGCAGGCCTTTTGGTCTTGGCAGAGCTACATCAGCACCAGCTGAGGGCTGTATATAAACAGACTGCACATCTCAGACCAGGGTGCATTTTCAGTCCTCGACACTTCAGGCTTTCAGCAGCAAGTGAAAATTCTGTCTCCTTAGAAAGGTTTCAGGAGCGAAGGAGACACCTGGGAGTTTTATTTGAAAATGATAATGCCATCATCTGTCTGCACCGCATGGAGCGCTTCTATCCCTTTATACTTATGCCCGGGTAGTGGCACACCGGGCAGTTTGTCCTGAATTGATCCTGTGCATAACAGTGGCAATTCGTAATTCAGAAGCAAGGGAAAGGAAATTGGGATTTTGTCTTTTTACACTGATGGCATTTCCCTTGGGCCTGCCAGAAGAAACTCTTTTGCTGCCGATACTCTAGCTTATATGCAATGCAAAGTACAGGGATCACAATCCTCGCTGAGAATTTAAATCCTTAATTTCAGGGTTTATAACTTTGGGGTGGGGCAACGCAGGCTTTTCATTACAGTCGGATACTAAAATCACAGAAGGACGGGAATGAGGCCAGCATATATTATAGCTTCCCGGTGCCATTAATGAGTTACACAGCCGCATGTGAGACAAAAGAATGGACTAGCAGCTCTTTATGGGCCCATTTGCCTCTTTTAAAATGCTGGGCAGTTAGGCCTTCTTCACGCGAGCAAATTGTCCTAATTATCAACACGGGTGCCAAACGCAGCGACGGGTACAGCAATCACAGTGGAGATAGGAAACCTGCTTTTTGCACTCATCCTGCTTGAAACCAGACAAAGCTGCCCCCATGCAAATCGCAGCTTAGTCTACATCTAAACTAGATTCCGAATCAACACTCTGAGATCGATCTGCTGGTGGTCGATTTAGCGGGTCTAGTTAAGACCTGCCAAATCGACCGCAGATTGCTTTCCCGTCCACCCTGTTACTCTACCTCGGGCGAGAAGAATAAGGGAAGTCAGTGGGCGAGTTTCTCCCATCGACCCCCACAGCACAGAGCCTTCAGTAACTTGATTTAAGCTACGTCAACTACAGCTATATTATTCTCATAGCTGGAGTTGCATAGCTTAGCTTAAATCGACTTCCTGTTATAGTGCAGATGTAGCCTGATAGTGGCCTACCCCACCGATTCCCAACCGCTGGGCTGAGGACCTCTGGCTGCCGGGCCGGGGCGGCTCTGGTGGCCGGGGCTGGGATGCACAGGTCCAAATGTGGCTGTTGGGAGAGGCATATCCTGCCCCACCTCTCAGCCACCCAGCACTGGGCAGGGGCGGGGTCTCTTCCCGGACACGGAGCCGCGTCTCCCAGAGTGGGACATGATGCCTGTGCCTAACTCCCTGCACCACCTCAGCGGGGTGTGGGAGGCAGCGCAGGGCTAGGTGAGGGGGCGGGACAGGCACTGGGGGACCCAGGGGCAGGGCTAGTGCTGGGATGCTCTGGAGGTGGGGGGCTGATACTGGGGGGCACTGGTATGTCTGGGATTGGGAGCTGGCACTTGGGAGCTCTGGGGGTGGGGCTAGTAGTGGGGGGCTATGGGGACAGGGCTAGCACTGGGGGATTCTGGGGACAAGGTTAATATTGAGGACTAGGGGTTGGCACTGAGGGAGCTCTGGGGGGTAGGATGCAGTGGGGCTCTGGAAACAGGAGGCTGGCACTGGAGGGTCTGGTGGTGGTGGGCTCTAAGGAGTGGGGGTGACACTGAGATATTTGGGGTGGGGGGCTGCCACTGGGGGGGATGCAGGGGACTCTGAGGTCGGTGGCTTGTGCTGGGGGCAGTGGAGGGGTGGGGGGGCTCTAGGGGTTAGGGCTGGTACTGGGGAGTTCTGGGGGCTAGGGCTTTTGGCGTACCAGTAACATTTTATTTGCGTATTTGCATACTCAATATTTACATAATGAATATGAAAATATGCAAATAAAATTTTGCCCAAAATTTGTGAATGGGTTTGCCAGTCCCTGGTATAAAAAAGGTTGGGAACCTCTGGTTTACCCAACCTATGCCACTAAAGGTTTGCTACCCAGGGATGAAGTCTTGGCCTCACTGGCAAAACTTCCATACACCACAAAAGGGTCAAGATTTCCCCCTGGCCCAGGAGACCATCATGAGAAAATGCAGTCACTTGGGCATGGTCCTCCAGTGACTCAGAACGTTAGCAGCCAAGTCTCCTGATTCCGACTTCCCATGCTCTAACCACTAGGCCAGTCTGCCTTTCCAAAGAGGCAGCTTGCATCCCAGATTGTTAACCATCTACCTTTATGCGCATTGCAAAACATACAGGCAATACAACAGCAAAGCAGCATACTCTGCCACTGACTTTCAAACGGGCTCATCTTGTGTAACTTGGTAAATTTCAAAGACACGAAAGAGCCATTTTTACCTCTCAGGCTGCAGCCATTGGCCGGGTCAATTTCTCTCCCATCAATTTTGAATACCCAGCGTCCCGGGACATTTACATTAGTTGTGTCTTCGATACTGATTATCTCTGGGGTCCTGGAACCTGGAATGCTAAAATAATTGGTGCTGTTTCCACCATTGAATCCTGCCTGAAACACAGAAAGAGCAAACTTGACCTCAAAACACAGTAACCATTCTTCCCTTAAGTCTGTTCTCTCATATTTCTTACCTTCGCTGTCATTAATAATCCTGATTTGTCTGCAAATTTCGCAGGTAATTATCTCATGCTCACCTCCTCTCTCAATTACGTGATCAAGTAAGATCCAGATGGCAGCTCCAGCAACAGTGTACGTACAAAAGTCCCACCGGGAAACTATTTAATTGGAACTGACTGATTTTTTTAACTTACACTTAATGATGTATTATTATTATTATTTTAACTACAAAAAGGCTGCTTTGTCAAAAGGAAATCTTCTGTTTGTGGCTGTTTTATCTGGCTGCTTGCTTTGACACACAAATTGAAAATGATTTTTTTTGTTTTGCTTTTAAAAAACAAACATTTTCAGGAAAGGCCTGTTGTTTTCAGGAGGTTTCAGTTTGCAGAAACCACACAAAATATTCTTTTTCTTTTTGATTTTCAGCGAAAAGCAAAACAATTTGTGGAAGGAAGAAGAGAAACAGAAAAGGGAGTGAGGCGATGGATGGATAGATGGGGTGGGGGGAGACAGTGTTTGGATTTAAAAAATGGTCACTTCACAGCCAGCTCTCAATTTCATGTGTCTGTAGCAACCTTTACAAGGTTAGGTATTCAACTTTTATCAAAAGAAAGAAAGTACATTGTTCTCTTCTCATCTTCATTTCATCTCCCTCCTCTTCCCCATATAATCTGGGAAGAAAAAAGAAAACCAGCCCCAAGGATGCATCTACACAACAGGGCTAAACTCAAAATAAGCTACGCAACTCGAGCTACGCTAATTGCATCGCATAAGTCGAAATAGCTTATTTCGAATTTGGGCGCGTCTACACAGCACTTATTTCGAAGTAGAGTACTCTTCCCCCGACTTCCCTTCCTCCTCGTACAATGAGGGTTACAGGAGTCGGAGTAAGAATTCCTCCGGCTGGACATTATTTCGACATGATGTCAAAATAACTGCTTGTGTGTAGACGCGCACTTTGTTATTTCGAAATAACGTCAGTTATTCCGAAATAATGGTGCTATGTAGACATACTCCAAGTGACCAGCCAATCTCCTCTGTGCACCTGCAAGTTCCCTTGGTCTACAGATCCCCAACTGATCATCCTTGGGGAGTGTACTTGAGACCCCTGGATCTAAAGGCATAAATCTCAAATGTTTAAGCTAAACAACCTGGTCTAGCTACTAAAGGACAACAAAAGTTGTGCTGCGTTAAGGCAAATCATGACTTTACTAGGTCTCATTTCTCTGCTGACTTTGTCAGGACAAGGGCAGTTTGGAGGGTAGAGCATAAACAGAGATGATCACACAGATGCACAGAAAGGGTTTTACCTGGGCCACCACTCCACCGAGTCCAGTTAAAGGATCGCCCCCGCTTGCTGTTCCAGTGGTCCAGGTGATTGCTTCATAATTAAACATCGCAAACGTGGACACCCCATCTGAAATCAGGAGCGCTTGAAAGGTGTTCACCTATTTAAAACACAGACAGGCATGCTCACAAAGCGAGGTCATCTCTTCCTCATCCTTTGCCCACGTTTTCTTCTACATCCATCCCTCATGAAATGCCATCATGAAGATTCCTAATTAAACAACCATCTGATAGCTGTTCAGCTCCCCTTAACCACGTCCCTAGCTGTCCAGAGCAGTTCCATGGGGGACACCACAGGAGACAGATTAGAGCTGTGATCTGCTTTCGCACCAAGAGATGGCAGCATGAGAACAAGTACCGACAAAGCAATTAGCTGGACTGGATTGCTTCAGCCTGTTATCTTAGTGTTATTCTAGCTCAGCTTTATTCATCACAGTGTTATCTTACTGGGTTACCTTCCCCATTCAGATGCTATAATCATATTAACAATGGCTTCTACAACAGTCAACAGCATATTGTGCCCACGGAAATCTTGCTTTCCCAAGCTGCAAAACTTTACTGACAAACATCACATGGTTCTTAAGCGACTCTCCAATTTTTAACTATAAATGTTTCAGATAAATTCACCGGGCAACAAGCCAGCACCTCATGCTAACAGGAGGTACCTTGTCACCTCCTAAAGACGACACAAACACGAGCTCTTGCCGATAGGATCCCAGAACATTGTTCATTAAGCCCTGTCCTACCTAGATCCATGTGAGATATTCCTGCGTCCCTGGGAATGCATTTGCAGAATCTGCTCCTATGACCATCCTGGCAAACACCACTTGAAGTAATTCAAACTTACCCATCTAAATTCCACCTGCAATTCCAACTGGTTTTGGTATCCTTCATGCCTTATCCGAAACCATTCTTCCTTGGTCACTAAATTCTGCTTAGCAGTCATGCTTTCATCCCGCCAGACGGCCGCCTTTCGATGATGGGTGAAATGAACCACGTATGTTCCCTCAGTTACTGAGGGTGTAATTAATCAAAGTCGGTCAATGTGGTTTGAGATCTTTGCATGGCTAGGGAAGGGCACTGTATTATCATGTAATGTTAAAAAGTCCAGATGACTGACAAACACATAACACGTCATCCAGGACCAGATAGAAAGGGATAGAAAATAAGACACAGAATATCTTACTGCCCCTGTATAAAACTATGGTACGCCCACATCTTGAATACTGTGTACAGATGTGGTCTCCTCACCTCAAAAAAGATATTTTGGCCTTGGAAAGGGTTCAGAAAAAGGCAACTAAAATGATTAGGGGTTTGGAACTGGTCCCATATGAAGAGAGGCTAAAGCAACTGGGACTTTTCAGTTTAGAAAAGAGGAGACTAAGGGGGATATGATAGAGGTCTATAAAATCATGAGTGGTGTGGAGAGGCCCGATAAAGAAAAGTTATTTATTAGTTCCCATAATAGAAGAATTAGAGGACACCAAATGAAATTAATGGGTAGCAGGTTTAAAACTAGTAAAAGAAAGTTCTTCTTCACACAGCGCGTAGTCAACCTGTGGAACTCCTTGCCAGAGGAGGCTGTGAAGGCTAGGACTATAACAGAGTTTAAAGAGAAGCTAGATAATTTTATGGAGGTTAGGTCCATAAAAGGCTTTTAGCCAGGGGATAGAAATGGTGTCCTTGGCCTCTGTCAGAGGCTGGAGATGGATGGCATGAGACAAATCGCTTGATCGTTGTCTTCGGTCCACCCCCTCCGGGGCACCTGGTGCTGGCCACTGTCGGCAGACAGGCTACTGGGCTAGACGGACCTTTGGTCTGACCCAGAACAGCCGTTCTTATGTTCTGAGCCTCCACTGATGTAAGCAGACAGAGCTCTGCTGAAATCTAGGTAGCTGTGCCGATTTACAGGATCTGGCCCACTGGAAAATGGCCCATGGCAGTATATGCTAGTACATAGATATAGATAATAGACAGATAGAACCCAAACTCTGTGACTTCCACTCCATGCATCTGACAAAGTGGTTTTTACCCACGAAATCTTAAGCCCAAATAAATCCGTTGGTTTTTAAGGTGCCTCAGGACTCCTCATTGTTTTTGCAGAAACGGACACCCGCAGCCACCCCTCCGAGTCATGTCAAAGCACTATTGGCTTGGGACAGACTTCTTATGGTCAAGTCGTGCCATTTTGCATTTTTGCTTAAAGTGCATCCATGGTTTTGAGCATCATTTTCAAAAGAAACCAGAGGCGCAATTGCACTCTGGGTTTTCGTTATTTATTTAGTATCATTTGTGGGGTGGTAACTTCCAGCAGTCCCAGTAATGGAGCACGACCCCGCTGTGCAGGAAAAGAACCCAAAGATGGTCCCGGCCCCCAAAGAATTTACAGTCTAACTATAAGACATGCGGCAACAGGCGGCTACGGACAGACCAGCGGGGGAGTACAAGGAAAGAGCGAGACAGTATTGGTCAGCGCAACAGGCCGTGATACCAGCTCACCAGTGGCCTAACGACTATATGAGTTTTGTAGGCAGGCAGAGTCTGAAGAAGGATAATGCAGATGTTAATGGGGATCAACACCCTGCTGGGCGGGGCAGCATGGGAGACAGCATTTAAATTGAACAAGCCGGCAACCACTGGGCAATCAACAGCGGGAGTCGACATTTTGATGATGAACGAGAGACAAGCAGGGCAGGGATGTGCCTGGAATGGCACTGATGTTGAAGACAGGTAGCTTGTGTTTGACGTGCTGGAGACGGGGCAGCCACTGTCTTTACCTGCAGTAGATCAGGGATACAGTGGGCCCAACAAGTCTCAAAACGCACCCCAGTGTGAGAAAGAAATGCCTTTCTAACTTCCACTGACATTTCTATGGATTTTTTTTTAATACGCTGACAGTCGATTCTTTTTTTTACCCAGCCGATGTATTTCCTGGTCTTTGTCAACTCAATTTCCAGTACTGCAAGATAGCAAACTTAAAAAGCGTAAAATCTATAGCCCGCAGTGCCTGTTGGAATGCGGAACATGATGGGGGAAAAAAATCTCTCTCGGCAAGTGATTTTCCACTAAGTGCAGCCAGCCCCGTGACGGGAATATTCACCCCAGTGCAGGGGAGTCGACTGTGTGGACTCCTGGCAATGTGGGAGGGGGTAGCTCTGTGCTGCTGGAGGGGGCGGGGCCTCGGGCAGGAGGGGTGGAGCCAGGGAAGCCGGCCCTCCACGTTGCTGGACCCCTGCTCTGACTGCCACTGCTGCCACAACAGCAGCAGCAGGGCACCCCCGGATCCCTCTGAATCACTGGTTCCCAGGGCAACTTCTTCCTTTGTCTCCCCGCCGTGCTAGGGTTACCAGAGGATTTCAAAAAAATACCGGACACACGATCTCAGATGGGAGGGGGCCAGCTGGGAGGAGGACGTGGCGAGCGGGGCTGGCC